AAATGTATGTGCTCATGTGTTTCTTTGTTGGTGTATAGGCTACTGCTTGAATATGCTTAATGAAAGGCAGGTTTTCATAAAAATAAATTATTTGAGTAGAGGACATTGTTAGTGTGTCAGTGTGTCAGGCAGCATGCTAACACTACAACTGGTATTTCCTTGGTATTTCCTTGTCAGTGGTTTATATTTGAATGCAGCATCTACAGCTACTACATGGACTTTTAACATTAAAACATTTACTTTGATGATTGACATTAGCATTATTAGCATCATACTGTAGCTGTGAGGGAGTGTATCCAACAGTCCCATTGATTACGATCTCCGTCCTCTCTGAGCATGGCCTGAAGACAGATTTTTTTGTTTTGTTATAATACTAGTTTTAACTAAAAGTATAGGAAATCGGAACTCTGTATAATTTTAAGGCATTATAAAAAAAGAAATTCCGCTAAGCGCCAATTATTTGATGGGCGAGGCCTTCATTTTTCCTTTTTGTTTAACCTTATTACCCAAATGATCAACTACTACTAAAATATGAGAGTTTTATCTTCTACTTTTTAGCCCAATGCCATGGTTTATGTAAAGATCAACTTTCTTCCAGCCTTTACGCTTCCTGGGCTTTTTCTGCTTCCTCATCGTCTGACATTAATCTAACAGTCTTTGGACGAGCCACTTTCTCATTGGATGAAGCTGTCTCTGAATCTGGTTGTTTTTGACCGGATGCTGCGTTAACGCCTGCCAGACGGCAGCAGACTGAACAGTTTGTGGCTGGGGTGATGTGGGTCTTTTATGATCCTGAGGGATTTCATGCACAAAATACGAAAAAGGGCAAAGTTGGAGAGGAGCCAAAAGACAATGCGGCCATCTTCACCGGCGCAATCCAGCACTATGGACACAGAGAGTAGAGAAGTAACTAAGATTTAGCAGCTAAAGGCACAGATAACAGAGCTAAAAGAGGGAATAGACAGATAGACATATTCTCTTGTTCCTAGATTGAATCTCTCAATAAAGTTAAGATAATTTGAATACAAAGATAAGGTGGAGCTGATGTTTCAAGGTGTGGCCATGCTCGCCCTCTCCTATAAAGGATGTTAGTTCAGACCGTCTTCACACTCAGAGCAAAGAAGAAGAAGAAGAAGAAGAAGAAGAATAAGAAGAAGCTTTGGAGCATCCATCAGACATCTCTCTCAGGTAAAAGAAACAAGGGAGAACACACTAGAAAAAGTTCTTATCCTTTAACCGAATGCTGGGTCGTTAGTCTGCTTTAGGCAAGGCAAGTTTATTTATATAGCACCTTTCAACATAAGGAAATTCAAAGTGCTTTACAAAAAATTAAAGACATTATGAAAATGGCATTTAAAATCAGTAATTAAAAAGCAAAGATAATAAAGTAAACATTAAAAGAGAAAATACATGGATAAAAGTTACAGTGTAGTTCAATTAAAAGCAGCGACAAAAAGAAAAGTCTTCAGCCTGGATTTAAAAGTAGTCAGAGTTGCAGCGGACCGGCAGGTTTCTGGGAGTTTGTTCCAGATATTTGGAGCATAATAACTAAACGCTGCTTCTCCATGTTTAGTTCTGACTCTGGGGACAGAAAGCTGACCAGTCCCTGAGGACCTGAGAGTTCTGGATGGTTCACAATTTAGCAGTAGATCAGAAATGTATTTTGGGCCTAAACCATTCAGAGCTTTATAATCCAGTAGCAGTATTTTGAAATCTATTATTTGACACACAGGAAGCCAGTGTAAAGACTTCAGAACAGGAGTGATGTGATCCACTTTCTTATTGTTAGTGAGGACTCGAGCAGCAGCGTTCTGAATTAGCTGCAGCTTCCTAATAGATTTGTTAGTAAGACCTGTGAAGACACCATTACAGTAGTCGAGTCTACTGAAGATAAAAGCATGGACGAGTTTTACCAAATCCTGCTGTGACATTAGTCTTTTAATCCTAGATATGCTCTTAAGGTGCTAGTAGGCTGATTTAGTAACTGTTTTAATGTGACTGTTGAAACTCAGGTCAGAGTCCATGACTACACCTATATTTCAAGCTTTATCTGTTGTTTTGAACATTGCAGACTGAAGCTCAGCGCTAACTTTTATATGTTCTGCCTTGGCTCCAAAAACCATTACCTCAGTTTTATCTTTGTTTAATTGGAGAAGGTTCTGACACATCCAGTCATTGATTTGTTCAATGCACTTACTCAGTGTTTGAATTGGAGCATAGTCTCCTGGTGAAATTGTTACGTACATTCGTGTGTCATCCGCATAGCTATGGTAACTTATTTTGTTGTTTTTCATTGTCTGAGCCAGTGGTAGCATGTAGATGTTAAAGAGAAGAGGCCCCAAAATGGAGCCTTGAGGTACCCCACTTGTCATATTTGTAAACTCAGATGTGTATTTACCTATAGAAACAACATTTTTTTCTGTCCTTTAAGTAGGATCCAAACCAATTTGGAACTGTTTCCGAAAGTCCCACCCTGTTTTCTAGTCGGTCTAGTAATATGTTGTGGTCAACAGTGTCAAACGCAGCACTGAGATCTAATAATACCAACACTGAAGTTCTGCCACTGTCTGTGTTTAAGTGGATGTAATTGAAGACCTTTACAAGAGCAGTCTCAGTGCTGTGGTTTGGACGAAAGCCTGACTGGAACACATCGAAACAGTTATTTAAATGCAAGAAGTTACTCAACTGTTGAAAAACAACTTTTTCAATGATTTTACCTAGAAATGAGAGGTTTGATTTGGGCCTGTAATTGTTCATTACTGAAGCATCTAGATTATTCTATTTTTTTTTCTGAGCGATGTGTTGTATCTTTCTCTTGTTTTGATTCCTCTGGAACAGATTGATGACGTAGGCAGTTGAATATGTTAGAGATAAACAATTTCACTCCTGACTTGTTCAGGCAAACTCCATTCGCCTTAAAAAGATGTCTGCGGTCCCAGAAAAAGTTAAAGTTGATAATAAAATTGACAGAATGGTCAGTACAGACAGTTGAACGCCAGATGTTCAGTGCAAACAATCTGCTGAATCTCTCCACTCCTCTTCTGACTGGCGGTAGAGGGCCACTGATGAACACCTCTGCATTTAGAGAGCTGACAGTTTCCAACAAACATTTAAAGTCTTTTTTCAGCACTTCTGACTCTTGTTTCACAACATCATCTGTTCCAATGTGCAGTAGCCTACCACATTTTTTACAGTCGGATGTTCAGCCCCAATATGCAGGATCTTCTCAGCCAAGTCAGAGACCATATCCTTATGAGTACTTTGGTGTTGTTCTTACTACACAGACTTTTTACATCTCTTGCTTTAGATACTTACAAGCTGATTCTGAAAGAGGATATTCTCGGAAAATAAATGTCACATGTATTTATTAAGCTGATTAACAATGTGAGTCAGGCAGCAATAAGATATTTAACAACACCATAAATCCCGTTTTTAAAAAAGTACAGGCTTGCAGCATTCAAGACTTCACAGTAACAATTCATTATTGCAAAACCAAAAAGGCTTTTTTCAATATATTTATACATCACATTACGGTCAATGTATGTACATAATGAGTGCTTTTACTTTTGGTACTTTAAGTATATTTTGATGCCAATAATATTATATTTTTAGTTGAGTAACATTTTGAATACAGGGATTTTAATTGTAACAGAGTATTCCTGAACTGTGGTATTTCTACTTGTACTTAAAGGTGGGTAAGTTTGAGAAACCGGCTTGAGTGCGCTGGAATTTGAAAATACACAACCGGAAAAAATCTGCCACTTCCTTACAGAGCCCCTCCTCCAACACACACGAACGCGCACATGACCAATGAGGGCACGAGATAAGTTTGTGCACAGATGGAAGGCAGGTAGGCCATCCAGTTATTTTAGCCGGGCCGGCTGATTGGTCATGCTTTTTACAGTACTACGGCTTCCACAGATGACATTTTTTTGTCAAAGCACTTAAGATATTCATTGCTATCGGGATGTTAAGAGCATTCCATGGAATATAACAAAAAGTGTATCTCGAGCCGGTTTCTCAAACTTACCTACCCCACCTTTAAGTACAAGAGTGCTTCTTCCACCTCTGCAGTTCAAGCCTTACAACTCAATTGTCACGGGAGTAGCGACACTGGGCCAAAGGACCACCAAGCGGAGACTTCATCTCAAAAGGGGAACCACAGAAGTTGTTAAAATCATTTGTTTACATTACTGAGAGCGAAATGTAGTGTAACTCTAAATCAAATGAAACAAAATCAAACGGGGTGGAAACCAGGAGACAGAGACTTACTGATGGCCACCAGCTTACAGTATACGTATGTATGTAAAAGTCAGCTGATCTGAGGCCTGTTCAGAGAAGGCTGTCACAAATGTCTCAGATGATTCAGCAGAATGTCTCTCTTAAAACTTTGTCAAATATGTGTCACCCAAAAGGTTTGGCAATGGTTCCCGGTTTCTCTATAAAAACTAATGTTTCTTCTTACTGTATTCACTGCAGTGGCACCTTCACTCACAGCACAGAGAAGACAACAGAAGAACTAGAGAGAATCTCACAGACATCTCATTCTCTATCAAAGGAGATAAAAGATTTTCACTTGGCTGTATTTAGCTTTATTCTTTGCATTTAGTGATTTAATCGGGGCCAATGTTTTCACCAAAGTGTTTAGACTTTAGTTAATATAAAATGCTGGCTTATGTTTTAAAGTGAGGTTCATTTAGAGACTGATGCTAACCCACAAAACCAGTCCTAAATTGGTCATGCATTTTAAAAACTATTTTCTACATATGCTAATTAATGGTAATTAATGCAACTTGTGCCAATTTTGCAAATTGCTCAACGTATGCAAGTTAGCATGCAGCAGTTTTTATGTGCTGGGGACCCGTACTTAACATTTCTAACATAAAACTTTGGGGTAATAATTATGTCCAGGTTCACAATAGGAGTCTATGAGCTGGCAAACAGACTATAAATAATGATATTGTTTGTTAAACACACTAATAGAGCTGATCTGTGTGCAGATGGCTGGCCTGTGCTGGATGACAGTGATGCTGACCGTCCTCCTGTCTGCTGGAGACAGGGCGGATGCTGTGGACAGTGCGGACGCTGTGGACCTGGAAACACTTGCCTCATACGTAAATCAAATCAGTGCATTGTGAGTCGCTTTCTGAATCTTTCACTGAAAGTCACTGTTATTACTTCTTCGAGACAAAGCAATGGTCTGTGCTATGCAGGATGTTGTTATGATGAATAGAAAGCACTTATAAAGTAAGGCAGTCATATCATCATATCATGGTTCCCTGACATAAAGAGGAGTGCAAAGAATGTGTCTGGATCTGTCCTTTGTGTATAAACACAGAAACTGCAAATGAAAACACGCAGGTACCTCGGCTATGAAGATGTGTTTCTAATAAAAAGAGGGCTGATCCAGATAATTTCCTTTTATTTATAATAAATGTGCTAGGAGTAAGGTACGGCTTTTAACAACGTTAATACGATACGATAAGACTTCATTGTCATGTCAAATCTGACATTTTTCTTTTTCTTGCAACTTGTTCAAGAGCCTCTAACATATTTGACCTGGATTTAACTCTGGTTCCAAAGGAGTGCTTCAGTCTAACTTTATTAAATATGAACATACTATAAACACACTGCAAGAGAATACTAAAAAAAGCTGTTCTGGTAGTTGGTACTGTATTACATTTTAAACATTACACGCTTTCGTCTCAGTATGCCTATAGCAACTTAAAACCTGCAGAAATATAGCAACTGCTTTCAGTATTTTTGTAGCTCAGTTTTACAAAAAATGTTTTAGATATTGCCAAACTCCAACCAGAATACCCCAAAGACAAAGCTAAGAAATGTATGCATTCATTCATTCATTTGTTTAAGGGTAACAGAATTGGAAATTAACTTAAAATCCACCTTAGAGCCTTTTGCAGGACAAAGCTTAAGAAAGTCTGCATCTCCACAGAGTGACTGGGGCAACCTAGTGGATCATCTAGGTTACTGCTTTAAACATGCATGTATCAAACAGCAGTACATTTTGTGTTGTACTGAAAGATCTATGATGCATGATGGGATGTTTTTCCTTTGACAGGTACGGAACCCATGGCACGTATAGTCTGGCTGTAAGCATCCCATTGCCAGAAATGAACAGGAACAAAAACAAGAAAACCTTCCTAGCGGACCTCTTGAAGAAAAGTGATCCTGTTGAGAGAGTGAAGGATAAGCTCGACAAAGACGAGGTGTACGTCGGGACGAGGGTGGTCGCATCCAAATTCCAGGAGGAGGGTCAACACGCAGAGTCTCGTGTTGTGGACAATTTGGTCACTTTGTTCAATAACAAAGTAAATAAAGCTCAAGATATGTTGCTTTTCTATGCTTTTACCACCCCATGTGGAAAATGTTTTCAACTAGGATCTACCGGAAACAACCTCGATAGGTACAATCAAATACGTCTATGGCAGAGTTACGCTGCTGTGTTTTCTGAAGTATTCCAACCAAGAGATAAAAAAGATAGACTTCCTGATGTTAACATGGGAGCTGCCATTCAGCTCTTCGGGAATTACCAGGGCCCCCGAGGTCAAATCGGTTTAGACCACATATTCCGTTGTATGAAACCTGAAGGATCCAAATCGATGGTGTGCATCAGTTGTGACAATGGTAATCAAGTTGCAGACCAGTGTTTTTCAGATGAAGACTAGCCTGATCCCAGCCAAAGCCAGCCTTCCTCTTAACTCAAACAGTCTTCCTCTCAACTCAAACAGTCTTCCTCTGAACTCAACCAGCCCTCCTCTCACCTCAACCAACCTTAACAAGGCCTAGTTCCTCCTCACAAAGGGGAGGTAGTGGAGGCTGGCAGGTTGCGGGCGGAGGAAAGCACGGCAAAACATAAAAATAAAGGGCGTTAACCTTGAGTAAAATAGACCCTTTTTGCTTTAACAAGACTAAGAGCATTTCCATTTATCAGTCTTCAAATAGTAGATTCCTTTCTTTGCATTATCTTGCATTTATGTAGCGCTCACAGGAGATGTGAGTGGAGGAGACAAGGAAGAGACATGAGGAGAGAGGAGTCGAGGCAACAGGCAGAAATAAAAGCTTCTTCATCTATGTATTGTGTTGCTATACCGGTGTATTTCTGATCTCTCTAATAAATCACCTTTTCTCTCTTTGAAATGATTGTTTCATGTTTCTTGCTAAAAATAAAGACCAATTCAAATCGAATGTTTGGTTTAGGTACAATTAGGTTCCGCTCGATTCAAACTAAAGCAATGTCTCCTTTGGGTTGGCTTATATGAAGCTTCAGTACATGCACCTCTCTTGTTATTCTGATTGTTTATCTTCATGGTTTGTTGCAAGGTGCTTCGGATAAAAGCGTCAGCTAAGTTAAATGTAAAGTGCTAAATATCCAGGTGCTAAGAAAGAAGTGAAAAGAGACAATGGAGCCAGGATGTAGAGGGGAGGGATGAGAAATGAAATGAGATATGAAAATGAATCAGACACAGAAGAGGAGGAGGTGAGGAGAACAGAGCATGAGCTAGAACATATACAACTCTATATCATAATCATCATCATCAGCTTTATACTCTAGGTCCATTTTTAAAATAAATGCAACACATATCAATTAAAAAAGGCAGTTATACCAATGTTTCCACAGAGGTGACTGGTATCGTACAGCACTGAGACACGGATTTGAAAGCAGCATATTGACAGAGTTATGAGAAACATTCAATCGACAGATGAATTTGTACTTTAGATTTCTCAAGAGAGCATGGAACTTGTTGACTCGTGCATTACAAAACATTTCACTTGCACTGCACCACCTTGGTTTTCTAACCGGTATACGCAAACAGTCATGATAAGCCACCTGGAGCTTCTGGAGGCTCGCCTTCTTGAGCCACAAGGGGGCAGTATACAGAGGAGTACAATAAGCCCTCAAGAGGTTCACCTTAACCTTATCTGAACACCAAGAGAATGTTCTAGCCAACATGTTAGCTTGTGTATATAAGACACGCCGCTGTCTATACATGTCATCATCATCATCAGCCATTTAATCTGTGATGATGTGTCCCAGATACTTAGTGTCACAGCAAACAGACAGCACCTGCCCTGACTGATAGAATATTAGAAAACCAAGGTTCTTATCCCCTTTTGCAGTGCAGATCATTACAGCGCTCTTATATATATATAAACACATACACTGCTATAACATATAGATTTAAGTAGTTCTCAATGCTTTCTATTTGAACAATTCAACTTGGATAAAATAGTCAAATCCACTTAAAGGGATAGTGGAAATCCGCGAATGTTGGGTTTAACTTATGTATTTTTATTAAAAATAAGCATAATAAACCATTTTTTTTAATTTCATGCCCCTAGTTTTATTTTATTTTCAATTTTACTGCGCCCTCTCAATGAAACGAAATACTTCGGGAATCGTCGGGAATCTTCGGGTGATGACGAGAGCAAAGGAAGACGGGCACAAACAATGGCGGACATTCAATAGCATTTGCATGTGAATAGCCGACCTTTATTATGGTGAATAGATGTGTTTTGTATGGCTGTAGTGCGACAGCAAATGCAGAGAATGGCGTATCGACGCATGCGTTTCCAAGAAACCCAGCCATTCGTCGTCAGTGGGGGAAATTTGTTCAGATAACACGGGCAAACTTCACGGAGCCGAAGCTGACGAGTAATTCGGCAGTCGTGTGCTCCCGTCATTTTACTGACGATTGTTTCGAGATTCCTCGGTCTCTAGCTCAAATTGAAAGTGGAATACATAAGAAGTGAGTATTTTATTATGTTTTCTTGTTGATTTAATGCATCATTAGCCTGTACCATTTTGTACAACGCCATTTATCCGGTACACAGTGTCGAATGTGTACACTACAGTCATCATATAGACATGATAGACTAACAGTACTGTGAGTACAGCCTACACTTGACAGGCAGCCTGGCTATCCTAGGATGTTGTTTACTTTCTCTTTTCTGGCTGATAGCTCCAGGAATTCGAGGTCTTACAGTGATGACATTACATGTGTGGAATCTGTGGAGTCTCAGCTTTAAATCGTATATCTTGTTTGTGCAGTTAAGATAGTAATAAGGGCATTTCTACCGTGTGTTGTGTGTACAAAAGCGTTAGCATTAGTTAGCATTGTTTCGCTCAATGCTAATTCAAAGGCTTGGTATTACTCTTGTGTTTTTTCTAGCTAACAATTGTTCTTATTGTCAGTTAGCGGAGTTTCTTACCTTTAAAAGGGTATGAAACATTAATAGTTTCATAAATGTTAAGAAGCCCTGAGACATGTGAGAGAAACAAAACTGTGGGAGGGGTCCACTGGGGGGACCTTCGGGCTTAACTGGTTAACAATGATTAATATTTGTAAAGGCTACCGGTGATCTTAAGATGCGTGAGCTATGCTTAGGGATCTACCAGTCAAGATTATTTGTGCGTAGGGGTGCATCATCTGGCGCCTGGTCCTGGTCATCCTCGCCATTGCCCATGCCGTGAACCATCACCTCGGGCTCGAACAAATAAGGACGTAATGGTCCATCGTCTGGCTCAATATTGTCACCATCGTCGCTTACTGAACCGGATTCAGATTCAGTTCCTAAAACGACATTTTCGTAGGAAAGCCGAGAGGATGTTTCTGACTCGCTATCATCACTGGATACCTCGTACAATCCTTCTTCTTTGTCTGGTATATTTGCCCTTCCACGTTCATTCTGCATAGACGCCATGGTTTGTTATCGTATCGTCTTCCTGAGTTTTCGTCACTTCCGGTTTGGCTGAGTCGAACATTTCGTTTCTAAAAAACTTCGGGGAAGCTGCAATAAAGTGCTTCTAACATGCGTAAGGCAATTATTATATTTTTTTAATCAGGTGTGATTGTTTTGGTACGTAATTATGCTTGTATATAAGTTAAAACGAAACTATTTGAGGTTCCATTTCCACTATCCCTTTAAACAGAATGATGCTTTTTACTTTCTTATTACTTAACGCTGAGTTAGAAAATAACCTTTGCTAGTAGTTGTCTCACTGTATATGTGATTATCTTTAAAATACGTATATAAATGAGTCTGAAGTGCAGATATTGTGTCACATCCTGGCCCTGGCTGATCGCCTCACTCCCTCACCTGTGTATTTTCGCTCCCTGTTAATCACCTGCCTGGTCTCAATGAGCCTCAGCTGTCCCTATTGATCACTCTTCACCTGTGTATTTAGTCTGTGCTGTTTCCTTGGTCAGTGCCAGTTCGTCTTGTCTGTATAGCAGAAGGTGCTCCATGTTTATCTTCTGACGTAAGCTATTGTTCTAGCTGCTTAGCATTTGTACCAACCTAGTTGGTTGTTTTTTTGTTGCTTCTCTAGTAGTTTTCCGCCAACTTAGTTGGTTGTTTTTCGTTACTTCAAGTCAGTACATTTTTTGATCATTGCCTGTTTTATTTGAACCTTTTGGATTAAACGCTTGACGAAAGACCTTATTGCCTGGTTGTGCTCTTGAGTCCTATTTTTGCTCGTGCCTGTACTTGTGCATGATAGTACGAACTGGCCAGCATGGACTCAGCCGACCAGGATTCTGTGCGGACTGCTCTTCAGAGTCAAGGGAGCAGGATTTACCACCAAGAGCAGGAACTTACCGGGCTTCGCCAGGAATGAAAGTTGATGGCCGAGAGACAGGAGTCTGTTTTGTCGTCTTTTGGTGGGCAAGTCTGTTATTTGGTCAAAAATATCCAAAAACTATTACTCCAGCCAAGTCCTCCAGCTCCCCCATTGCCTGTTTTCCCAGTGGATCTTACTCCAGTCCAGTCTCCAACTCCGACCCTGTCCCCTCACCTCTCCCAACCAGAGCGGTTTTCTGGGGATTCCGGTGATTGTCGGGCTTTCCTGGCTCAGTGCGGCCTCCACTTTGAACTCCAGGCTGCATGCTACCCATCTGAGCGCTCAAGGGTGGCATACATTGTCTCCCACCTTTCTGGCCGAGCTGAGGCTTGGGCAACGGCAGAGTGGGTGAGAAGGTCTCCTGTTTGTGACTCCCTCGATCTCTTCTCTGAGACCTTCACCAAGATCTTCCAGCACATCCCACCAGGGCGGGAGCAGCCAGAGCACTCGTTGGATTGCGCCAGGGTAAGCAGAGGGTTTCTGACTATGCTATAAAGTTCCGTACCCTGGCAGCGGACAGTGACTGGAACCAATCAGCATTGTTTGATGCTTTCCTTTATGGATTGTCCGGCACATTAAAGGATCAGTTAGCTCCCCTTGAGCTTCCAGCTGATTTGGACTCCCTAATTTCATTGACTATTAAGATTGACAAGCGACTGATAGAGAGGGAGATAGAGACACTGCGATTCCCTATTTCTCCCACAAGAGGCAGTCTTCGCCCAGCTCTTCGTCCTCATGGAATCACCCCAGGCCCTGGCTTCCGTTTACTGGGCCTCTGTCACCCCCTGCTGTTCCGGAGGAGCCCATGCAGCTTGGCAGGACCAAGCTGACTCCAGAGGAGCGACAGCGCCGCCTGCGGGAGGGCAGGTGCTTCTACTGTGGTGAACGGGGACACTCAGTCGCCAACTGTCACCTACTAAAAGATCTGGCTCGCCAGTAAAGAAGAGGGCACTGGTGAGCCGCACTACACTTCATCAAATGTGGATGAAATGGACAGGTTTCAAGCTTCTTTCCTGGGTTACATAGTGCTGTGAAGCCTGTCCTCTGGGTGGTGGGAGAGCGAGGTGCTGGAAGGAGCTCTCTGGGTCACATCCTGCTGCTGCTGCTGCTGCTGCTCTCTCTCCCTCCCTGTATTCACAGCACTTTTACCCAGCTTTCACACACTCATTCCTGGGTAAGAAATCCATGTGCATCACCCTGGATCTCTGCCTGTGAGTGTGGGACCCTGCTTAATGTTAGTCACTCACGTTGTCTCCCAAATGTCACTCTGTCTTCGTCTTCTGTGGTTCTTAGGCATCCTGTTTTGGTAGACTCTGGCTCAGATGCCAGTTGTATAGACTTTGAGTTGGCTAAGAAGCTGAACCTTGAGACCTTTCCCCTTCCAAAACCAATGGAAGCAAGTGCCTTGGATGGCCGTCGTCTCTGTAGGGTAACTCACCACACCCAACCTCTTCAGCTAAGTTTCCAGGACGGTCACACTGAGCTTCTCGTTTTTCGGTCCCCGGAACACCCAATCATTTTGGGGTACCCCTGGCTTACCCTACACAACCCCCACATAGACTGGTCCACTGGCAAGAGTATTGCTTGGTGTAAGGAAAATGTCTGCCTTATGGACATAGTTAACATGGGACTTGTCCTTCAAATGTACTGATGTCCGCACAATGGAAATGTGATGTCAAATTCCAATGCAAAGTCCCTGCCACCGGCAGAACACATTTTACCAACTATGCCTACACACATGCAACACTTGGGGGTTCTCTATACATGTGTCTGAGGGTAAAATAATCATCATTATGTATATAAATATGTTTGTCAATATCATGGACATCTCCTGCTAAATTGGGGTCCACGAAGCTGACACCCTGCTGACACAGCAGTGACTCTGCTGTACATTTCATGAGTCAAATGTGGATGCAATGGACAGGTTTCAAGCTTCTTTCCTGGGTTACATAGTGCTGTGAAGCAGCCTGTCCTCTGGGTGGTGGGAGAGCGAGGTGCTGGAAGGAGCTCTCTGGGTCACATCCTGCTGCTGCTGCTGCTGCTGCTGCTGCTCTCTCTCCCTCCCTGTATTCACAGCACTTTTACCCAGCTTTCACACACTCATTCCTGGGTAAGAAATCCATGTGAATCACCCTGGATCTCTGCCTGTGAGTTTGGGACCCTGCTTACAGCAGTGAACCTGCTGCCAGCATTACAGAGTTTATTAATCAGGCATTTTAACACTTTTTTCCCATGACTTTTTTTCTGACTCTGGAGGAATGTAAGGAGAGTTGTCAGGGGACTCTACCCGCCTTATGGAACACTATTTTCGGATACAATTTATCCATTTTCACCCTTTTGTCTGGTTCTTCCAAAAGTTAAGTCAGACTTTTTCCTGATTTCTCACTGATCGAATGGCAAACGTGACCCGCCATCAGAGGGCTTCCGCCGGCCCGGCCTCGTGCCGGTGCTCTGGCGGTCGGTTCCTCCGAACTGCGGGTTCGACTCTGATGGCAGGGAGGGTGTGCTGCGTGGGGGTAACCCTGCGTGTCTCTTCCCTCCCGGGCCGCCCGATATGAATCGTGACCGAGACAAACCGTCTGACTCAGGGGTCCCACCACGGATCCCGCGGCGGGATGGAGGTTCCGGGCGGGAACCTCCCCACCTACGCCGCGGTGCGCCCGGCAAACACTGTCGTTTCTCGAACCCTTCACTGTTGCATAGCGGCCTTTGTCGGCTGCGGCATTCAGCAATCAGCCTTGCTCCGGGCACCGGTTCCCCCGGGGACCAGTGTTCGGTGGCTTCACATGATATAGGGTCGACCCTACTTCATCACAGGCTACCTGGTTGATCCTGCCAGTAGCATATGCTTGTCTCAAAGATTAAGCCATGCAAGTCCAAGTACACACGGCCGGTACAGTGAAACTGCGAATGGCTCATTAAATCAGTTATGGTTCCTTTGATCGCTCTAACGTTACTTGGATAACTGTGGCAATTCTAGAGCTAATACATGCCAACGAACGCTGACCTTCGGGGATGCGTGCATTTATCAGACCCAAAACCCAGGCGGGGTGCTCTCCGGGGCGCCCCGGCCGCTTTGGTGACTCTAGATAACCTCGAGCCGATCGCTGGCCCTCGTGGCGGCGACGTCTCATTCTAATGTCTGCCCTATCAACTTTCGATGGTACTTTCTGTGCCTACCATGGTGACCACGGGTAACGGGGAATCAGGGTTCGATTCCGGAGAGGGAGACTGAGAAACCATGATATAGGGTTGACCCTACTTCATCACAGGCTACCTGTATGATCCTGCCTAACAACCATATATGCTTGTCTGCAAAGAGTGAACTGTCTGGTCCTGCCCTGGTGTTCCTCTACGGCTAGTGTCCAGCCGTCAGCTGTGCTATCAGCAAATTTGACCCGCCATCGGAGGGCCTCCTGCCACCTCAACATGCCGGTGCTTGGCGGTCGGAATAATAATATTTTACAGGGCTCAGGGGTCTGCACTTTGAAGCTCCTGGAGCGGACAAATATATGTGTATTTGCCTGAATGATGGAAATAAACACAAAATGCTATTTTACAGGACATGACTGATATAGGTGTATTTTCACAGCTTTTTGAAAATACACCAAATGTGATTTTGCAGGGCAACACGAAGCTCATTTTACCCATGTGATGTTGTGCAGTACATTACGGAGCTCTCGTTTAACCACATGGCGTACCAGGGGCACTAAGGGGCACTAAGGTCTTACTTGGATGTCCTTATGTGTTTAGTCAGAGTGAGAGTGCTTGAGTTTGGGTACACATCTTTGCCAGACGCACCCACCCGTGGAAAGACAAAATATGACAAAACAGTTAAAGTGTGAACCTCCAGCACGGGGGGGGGGGGTGGTGCATAAAATCCTCCACAGGAGGGTGGGTGGTGCTGTGAAGAAGGCCGAATATTGATGCTGGTGTGCGGACAGTACAGCACCACAAAATCCACCACCTTTAAGTATAACCAGGGGCACGAGGTTATGGAGGGTGTGAACATCTGTGTTTAGTCCGTGGTGGAGTGCTTAAGTCCGGGGGCCCGGGGTCTCACGGTGCGAGGTTATGGAGGTTATTCGAAATTCTCGAAAAAACGGCTAAGTGCCAACGGAGGAGGGGCTCACAAAAGCTCAAGTCTTCGGCGCTTCCGGCGGAAGCCCCGGAGCCATTTGCACTCCCCCGTTTCATTTTACAACGGAGAGGGGAATCGAGACCTCCCTTCCTCCGTCCAAAAAATTCATTCATCTTTTCCAAGCTACCATCTGCACGAAATCGGAAACCCGGTTTTTGAGAGCACTTAGAAAAAAACGGGCTATTTCACATGATGGGGAAATCATGGAGGAATGCATCCGCTGCATGAGCACTTTGGATCGGATACAATTGTTGCCTGGACAGAGACCATGTTGAGCTGTCCCGGGAGGAAATATATGTGGTTGTAAATAAACTAAAAATGACAGTGGCAACGAAGGAGCTTCATGAAGTCAGATTGACAAACCCCACAGTAGCAATGATTACCTCTTGGGATGTGGACACTGTGGGTGATGAGGTCCTGTCACAACCTCCACCCTTGTCCCCAGTGATTGAATGTGACAACCCGGACTGTAAGGAATGGAGGATGGAGGCAAACACAATGAGGCCTCAGAGGGACAGATATGCTGCTGAGGTGAAATCCCTGCGTTGCAAGCTGCAGCAGAGGATAAAACATAAGCGACAGAGGAGGAACCAGAGGGCCGAGGACATGCTTGGGTTCGATGAAGAGGATGGGGAGGAACAAGAGCGGGTGTTTCTAAGGAAACGACCCCGAACAGAGTCAACACCAAAGAGGCTGTCCAAGTCCAAAGGTCCCTCCTGCAGCAAGTCCCCCATTCCCTCCTGCAGCAAGTCCCCCATTGCCTCTCACACACCTGTATCCAGCTCCTCAGAACCTGCATCCATAGATACAGAGGCCTCGTCATCCTCCCCTCCCATACATTCCCCCTGGTTCAGCGGCAGGGGCCGGGGGAATATAATGCGGGACATAACTTTCCCACGCATCATGGAGGAGTATCTGCAAGGCTACCGGGACCATTATGAGGGCATCGACCCAACAGTGAGGCTCCAAGAAAACGCAGTCTCCAAAATAAGCAGAGTGAAATCGTTCCTAAGCTTCATGGCACACGGTTTCAATCGCCTGTCTGACTGGCTCTTTCTGAGGGATCTGAAGAGGATACGTGGGTGAGTAACATCAAAAACTGTCCATGATGTTAGCATCATTGTGTGTGTTCTCCACATTGACGCAATACGATGTACTGATGCGTTTTCTTTTGCCAACAGCTGGTCCCGGAGCCTGATAAAGTCAAGCCTACAGGTCACGACCTCTGAATTCTATATCAAAAATATATCACACTTTCTCAAGTACATGGCAGACACACCATGCAAGGGGAGCAGGCTCAACCAAAATGACAAGATTGTAATCAAACGGGAAGTTATTGCCATCCTGAAGTCCCTGAGGAAGAAGGTGCTTATCCACCAGATGCAGGTGAAGCGGGACAAGATGGAAGGTCTGCCGAGTCATAAAGACATCATGGCATGTTTGACTGCGGCCAAAACTCGCATCCCTCAGCTCCTGGACGTGATGGCCAGCAATCCGACTACCGCAAACCGGATATTGCTCTATGGGTACATGACCCTCCATTGGAGCTGCATTTATGGCCACCGTCCGGGGGTCTACTCCAACATGACCAATGCCAAGGTCCGGAAGGCGGAGACAAGTGGCACTGCCTTTGGCTACCTCATTCACGTGAGTGCTATTAAAAAAACGTGTTTACTCTGGCAGTGATACAAATGTTGTGCATGATTGATACTTGTATTGACGCTCTCTACCTCTGTCATAACAGGTAAGCAACCACAAGACGGCCAACGCATTCGGGGAAGCGCAGCTGTACCTCACCATAGAATAATTTGGATGGATGAAGAGGTGGCTGGAAATCAAGGAGACGCTGACCTGCACCCAGAACCGCTACTTCCTATACACAGTGGGGAAGAACGCGTCGAGGAACCTTGCCTCCGCCCTGAGGTTGGCATGGGCTGATGTGGGACTAAAAGGTCCCATTAACTTCACCGACCTCCGCACAGTCCACGCAGATAATGCGAAGAGGTTTCAGGACATAGGCAACCGCCAAAGAGTGAGTGATTTCATGTGTCACAACACTGCAACTCCAGAAACATGTTATGCCAAGAATCCTTCTTTGAAGGAGGCTGCGGACATACGGCTGCTCTTCACAGAGTCACTGCAAGCAGCCGCGGCAGCAGCAACAGCATCAGGGGGGAGTGAAGACAATTTGGGGGACATTGACATCGACATCGACAGTGACAGTGACAGCGACAGTGACAGCTCTGGAGAGGAGCATAGCCCCACTCCCTACCAAGACTCCCCCGATGCCGAGACGTCAGATGAAGAATTCTACAAAAACTTCAACGCTTGGAGAGCGGCGAAGAGGGAACAGTCAATGGCCGAACACAGTCCCTCAGACATGGGTGAAGAGAGGGTGCGATACGGACAATGTTGCCAGTGACCAACTTGTAAATATGCAATGTTTTGTTGGATCCGGCTAAGGTTAATGATGTCTCTGAATGGCCTGTCCCTGCCAACCGCAAGCAAGTGCAGCGTTTTTTAGGGTTCGCCAACTTCTATAGGCGATTCATAAGAAACTTTAGCACTGTTGCTGCTCCATTGCATGCACTAACCTCCCCAAACACAAGGTTTCAGTGGACCTCTCAGTCGGACCAAGCCTTCCAGAGGCTCAAGAAGGCCTTCACCACGGCCCCTATACTGACCCTCCCGGACCCACGTCTGCAGTTTGTGGTGGAGGTGGACGCTTCAGACGTGGGGGTTGGTGCTCTGCTCTCCCAGCGCTCCAGAGAGGACAACAAGGTTCACCCATGTGCTTTCCTCTCCCGGAAGCTTTCTCCTGCTGAGAGGAATTACGATGTGGGGAATCGAGAGCTGTTGGCTGTTAAGGTGGCACTGGAAGAGTGGCGTCACTGGTTAGAGGGAGCTGAAGTGCCATTTATTGTGTGGACCGATCACAAGAACCTGGAGTACCTGCGCACAGCGAAGAGACTCAACCCTCGTCAAGCCAGGTGGGCTCTTTTAATCGGTTCAACTTTTCACTGTCTTATCGTCCTGGTTCTAAAAACACTAAGCCTGATGCTCTCTCCCGTCTCTTTGATACGGGCTCTGACCATTCTTCCCCCACTACCATCCTGCCTCCCTCATGTATGGTGGGTGCTGTTACCTGGGCTATTGAGGAGAGGGTCAAAGAAGAAAAATCTTGGTAACCCAGGGCCGAATGGTTGCCCTCAGAACAGGTTGTTTGTGCCCTCTCCTCTTTGCTCTCAGGTCATCCACTGGGCTCATGCGTCCCCTCTCTCCTGCCATCCGGGGATCAGAGTGAAGTGGGGGAGTATGTTGCTGTCTGCCCGGTGTGTACTCAGAACAAAGTTTCTCGTCGGCCTGGTCTCCTACGTCCCCTTCCTGTACCTACTCGCCCTTGGTCGGACGTCTCTCTGGACTTTGTAACGGGTCTTCCCCTGTCCCAAGGTAACACAACCATTTTGACCATTGTCGACAGATTCTCAAAGTTGGTGCATTTTGTTCCTCTGCCCAAGTTACCCTCTGCCAAGGAAACGGCGGAGGTTGTCCTGTCCAATGTTTTCCGGTTACATGGCTTCCCTAAAGATGTTGTGTCGGATCGGGGTCCCCAGTTCGTCTCCAAGTTTTGGAAGGAGTTCTGCGCTCTCCTGGGTGCGCCGTTAGCCTCTCCTCCGGCCATCACCCTCAGTCCAACGGACATACCGAGCGGCTCAACCAGGAGTTAGAGACCGGTCTGCGCTGTCTCGTCTCTCAGAACCCCACTACTTGGAGTAAGAATCTTATCTGGGTTGAGTATGCGCACAACACATTGCCTTGCTCTTCTACTGGTCTTTCCCCATTTCAGTGTGCTTATGGCTACCAACCGCCCCTGTTTCCGTCCCTGGAGGGAGAGGTCAGGGTTCCTTCTGCCTTGGCACTGATTCGGAGGTGCCGTTGCATCTGGACTGGGGCTAGACAAGTGCTGCTTAGGACGTCTGCTCGGTACAAGAGGGCAGCAGACCGCCGACGGATCCCTGCTCCCACCTATCGTGTCGGCCAGAGAGTATGGCTCTCCACTCAGGATCTTCCTCTTCAAGTCGAGTCCCGTAAGTTGGCGCCTCGCTTTGTTGGTCCCTTCCCTGTCTCAAAGATTATTAATCCTGTTGCTGTGAGACTCAAGCTTCCCAGGTCCATGAGGTCACACCCAACGTTCCATGTGGCTCGGATCAAGCCGGTCAAAGAGAGCCCTCTGGTTCCTGCCTCCAGACCCCCACCGCCCCCCCGGTTCATCGATGGAGGGCCAGTTTATTCTGTCAAGCGGCTCTTGGCGGCTCGCCGGCGGGGTCGTGGACGCCAGTATCTGGTGGATTGGGAGGGCTATGGTCTTGAGGAGAGGGAATGGGTATCTACAAAGAACATTGTCGACCCAGACCTCATCCGGGATTTCCACAGGCATCATCCAAACAAGCCTGGATCGTCCGGTGCCGGTCGTTGAGGGGGGGTACTGTCACATCCTGGCACTGGCTGATCGCCTCACTCCCTCACCTGTGTATTTTCGCTCCCTGTTAATCACCTGCCTGGTCTCAATGAGCCTCAGCTGTCCCTATTGATCACTCCTCACCTGTGTATTTAGTCTGTGCTGTTTCCTTGGTCAGTGCCAGTTCGTCTTGTCTGTATAGCAGAAGGTGCTCCATGTTTCTCTTCTGACGTAAGCTATTGTTCAAGCTGCTTAGCATTTGTACCAACCTAGTTGGTTGTTTTTTTGTTGCTTCTCTAGTAGTTTTCCGCCAACTTAGTTGGTTTTCGTTACTTCAAGTCAGTACATTTTTTGATCATTGCCTGTTTTATTTTTACCTTTTGGATTAAACGCTTGACTAAAGACCTTACTGCCTGGTTGTGCTCTTGAGTCCTATTTTTGCTCGTGCCCGTACTTGTGCATGATATATTGATGTCCTACCTTTGATTAAATGCAGGGGGAATATATGTGATGATTTATGAAGTGAATGCATTATAAGTACTTCTGAATAACTTCTAAAGCAAATGGATCAGGACTAAAAAGAGTCTTCCTGTTCTCTAACATGAATTGTGTTTTATTTTTCGTGTACTGATTAAGAATGAGGATCCCACCAACCTCCAAGATACATTTTCTCTCTATACTCGACAGGTTTTAATTCCCAGTGATACACAGTTATGTATTTCTCTGTGTAAAGGGATCGTTTCCTTTTGTTTCAAGTTCAGTGACTAAAATAAAGAAGTTTGTGCTAAATGAACCTCAAGACACTCGGTCACTCTGGTCCGTCACATAACAACTATCTTCACACAGTTTAGAGCCTGCAGGTCAGACTGTATTATGCATTTAAAAAATAACATTGAGCTTACATTCTTTTTCATTTTTGCATGAATTAAGATATTATTGTTATTATTTTTATGATTATTAATATATGTTTTTATTTGTACTACTAAAACTTGAATGACTTTCTTTTGGATTAGTATGAGTTTCTAACTTTTTACAGGAAAAGTCTGTTTTCAAAGAGTCAATAAACATTTTATATTACTTATATAACTGTATGATTTACCATATTACAGAGCGGATAATGGATGAAAGCTCTGCTGATTTGTTTGTGACCAACAATAAGATGAGTGTGTTTGGGTCCTTAGCATGCCGGTGTAATATCTAGCAATTTAAAGCAGGAAGTGCATTGTTGAGCAATAAAGAACTTTTCAAAGTAACATTTTAGAAGGATCCAGTTGTGTCAATGCCTAAGTCAGCTCTTCTTTTGGCCTACACACATTAATTCCTAATTTTGAACACACTCATCCACAAGATCAGTTTCTATTGAAGCACCTACACTGTAAACATTTACCAGCATTTCACAACATTTAAGGAAGGAGGAACTGCACACTGCCAAAACTGCATCCCTCTCCTCTGTCATCATCCTATTGGACCTGTCTGCTGCATTCGACACGGTGAATCATCAGATCCTCCTTCGCACTCTCCAAAAACTTGGAGTTTCAGGCTCTGCACTTTCCCTCCTCACCTCATACCTGAAAGACCGTACCTACAGGGTGACTTGGAGAGGGTCTGAGTCCGACCCTTGTCAATTAACTACGGGGGTCCCTCAGGGCTCTGTTCTTGGTCCCCTCCTCTTCTCCCTGTACACAAACTCGCTCGGATCAGTCATTAGCCCGCATGGTTTTTCTTACCACTGCTACGCTGATGACACCCAATTAATTATGTCCTTTCCCCGCTCAGAGACCCAGGTCGTTGCACGCATCTCTGCTTGTCTAGCTGACATCTCTCAGTGGATGTCTGCTCACCACCTCAAGCTCAACCTTGACAAGACTGAGCTGCTCTTCCTCCCGGGAAAAGATTGTCCCACTCTTGACCTAACAATCAACATCGGCACCTCAGTTGTTTCCCCGACTCAGACTGCAAGGAATCTGGGTGTGACCCTAGATAACAACCTGTCCTTCACTGCAAACATCGCTGCTACAACCCGTTGCTGCAGATACACGCTTTACAACATCAGGAAGATACGTCCCCAGCTGACTCAGAAAGCGACTCAGGTTCTGGTCCAGGCTCTCGTCATCTCACGCCTAGACTACTGCAACTCCCTCCTGGCTGGTCTACCTGCATGTGCCATCCGACCTCTGCAGCTCATCCAGAATGCAGCGGCTCGTCTGGTCTTCAACCTTCCTAAATTCTCCCACACCACTCCGCTCCTCCGCTCCCTTCACTGGCTTCCGGTAACTGCTAGAATCCACTTCAAGACACTGGTACTTGCTTACCATGCTGCGAATGGATCTGGCCCTTCCTACATCCAGGACATGGTTAAACCGTACACCCCAGCGCGTGCACTACGCTCTGCATCAGCCAAACGACTCGTTGCGCCCTCGCTGCGAGGGGGACCCAAGTTCCCATCGGCGAAAACACGTGGGTTTGCTGTCCTGGCTCCAAGATGGTGGAATGAGCTCCCCATTGACATCAGGACGGCAGATAGCTTGCACATCTTCCGGCGCAAACTGAAAACTCATCTCTTTCGACTCCACTTCGAGCGTTAGAACTATTAACGAAGCACTTTTATACTAATAAAGGACTGGCTTACCTAAAGCCAGTTGAGTAGCACTTGAAATGTTTGGCTCTATGAACCTGATGTACTTATATGATTCTGTTTTCTTCAAGGTTGTGTCTTCCTGGTCGAATGTACTTATTGTAAGTCGCTTTGGATAAAAGCGTCAGCTAAATGCAATGTAATGTAATGTAATGTAATTTAACAGTATTATTTTACAGTGACATATTGTAATCAAGGCCCCCTGTAATATCCCAACAAATACATGTAAAAATGACTGTATCCTTGGATTTCACAGCATTTAACTATTATTTCACAATAAAATACTGCAATCAAAATCCTCTGTAATATCACATCAAATGTTGTAATATCACAACAACATTGTAAACATTGCAAGGATTTCACAGCATTTAAGAGTCTCATATTACAGATAAATATTGTAATCAAAAGCCCCTGTAATATCACAACAAAATATCTCTAAAACTACAGTAAAATTGGATTTGACATTATTTAACTATTATTTCACAGTGAAGCACTGTACTCAAAATATTCTGTAATAGCACAACCCATTACTGTAAAATTTGAATTGTGCAGCATAGACTATTCTAACCGGCGTGTGTCCTGCAGCATAGCCTACTGTACTTCTCAAACCGTCTGGAAGATTTGAACTGAGACATTCTATACACTGTAAAAAAAGATCCTAATTTTACAGGAAATAATTAATGTTTTATAGTAATTATCATGTTTTTTAAATAACTTGCAAAATCCTGTAAAATTACAGATATGAACTATACATTAACAACCCAAAACATTATTTTAAGTATTTTGACAATAACAACAAATAACATTTATTTCATTTTTTTTAAAGTACATTTACTATATAAAATGTACAGTATATTTGCACTTTCAGAAAATATATGCAGATGTACGTACAATTACAATTATTATCTGCAATTAAATATGTAACTCGTAATATAAAAGTGTATTACTATTTAAGATATTTCTTTGTAATTTTAAGGTAAACATAAAACTGAGAAAAAAAGTGTCAAATAAAAAAATAAATAAAATGTAAGTAAAACATTTTTACATAAAACATTTTCTCAATATTCGATTGAATCCACCACAAACACAAAATATCCAATGTTGAAACAAAAGTAAATAAATATGTTTTCATGAAATTCCTAACTTACTATATTATAAACATCTACAGTTGACAATATCAATAAAAAAAAATAAAAATCATAGAAAGTGGAGAAATCTCTGCAGGGAGGACCAAGGTTTAAAACACACACTGTTATTTACTCAACAATAAGTCAGTTATCCTTGTTTTATTTGTGTTATGTTGCTGTGGGTTTTTTCCATTGGTCAATATACAGCAGGGCTTCTCAAATTACGGACTAAGGATCCAGACCGAACTGCAAATCAATCCGGACCGAACCCTGTGTCCCATTATTTAAAAAAAATAATAATTCTGATTTTGATGTAAATAAAAGTGGACCTATTATGCTATATTGAACAAATATACTGTAGGGCCATACCGATACAAAACATGTCTGTGAAGTTTTTTGCTTAAAATACCAAACAGTTCACCCATTGTAACCATGCCTCATACCGCTCTTTTGCAGCTCTGTTAGAGAAACGCGGATTTTGGGTCCTTAGCTTTAAAAAAAAAAAAAGAGGAGGCGGAGCTAATGCCTGATCAGAATTCTACCGGAGATAAAGTTACATTCTGCTGTGATAAAACGCCATCCTGTTCTAAACCACATCAAAGATTATTTCTGCGGGTTTATCACAAGGTGAGTTCCTTTTTTTATTTCCTGCTTTTTAAACACATAGCTCTGAGTGTTAGCGAGGCTTGCTAAAGTAAACAAAGACGAGATTACTTTACTGGCATTGATCCGGACCATTGACCTTGTATACAATTCACAAGTGGACCTTTAACAAAAAAGTTCGAGTACCCCTGAGATAGGGGATCTATTGGCAGCTGCTGATAATAACATTCATCATTATGGTTTACTAATTGTTGTCTTTTTGTCCTCTAGGTTGCACTGCCACATCTACAGTAGTGCAGAATGGACAGAGGAAACATGATTGGGCCTCAAGTTTTTTGCAGCCAATATACATTCTCCTACAAACTTGGGATAGGAGGGTGAGTGAACAAGTTATCCATTGGTTGGAACCTACATCCCCATTGTTAGACGTACTAAATCCTGCTCCTTCAAATTGATAATGTGAACATATGTCGCCATTTTGTAATTTCTGTTATTTTCAGTTGAGAATGTTTCTTCAATGTTTCAAAGTAATCTTAAAAAATTAAACTTATTTTTTGTTTATACTGTTTATAAGTAGATGTTTAAATATTAAATGCTGTATTCATTAATGGTTGTATAATTCTACAAATATTTTTATATTTTAAGTTTTAAAATGTTTATAGTAATTGTTCCCTACAGAACATTTTGTGCTGTCATTTTATTGAACGTGTTTGATTGGAAAATGTTAGAAAAAAGCTGTAAAATAACAGTATTCTACTTGTAGAACTTTAGGTTCTGTATTTATTTTTGTGTTTGATCATAAAAATCTAATAAAAAAAAATGTAAAAAACTGTTTTTCTCATCAGAACTTTATTTAAGGTATTTGAATGTAACATTTTAAGACAATGGATTTTGAGAAGAGAGGAAACATCTGTAACATTACAGTGTTTTCCTGTGCAATCTTTAAGGACAATTCCTGTTTATTAATTGCTTTTGCACTTTATTTCAGTGAAAGTATTTTACTTTAATTTAAGGGTTTTTGTTTGGCAGCCGCTGCT